CATTCATTTGATCTTATAACTGCCCTAGAAGACAGCTTATCAGTGAAGATTTGAATGTATCAAAAATTAAATTTGTGCAAAATTAAGATGTTGGAAGAATAAGTACTGAATTTTTTATTCTACTTTTAATTATAATAAAAATTTTCTACACTAGAATAGAGAACAATATGTGAAATTCCCATACTAGGAAATGTACTTTATGTTTGGCTTAGAATAATATCAATTAGAATGTAGGACAATGTCTTTGAATAGCCTACTCGTCATTCTGCATGAAATTAGTTTCCAGTAGTTGAGAAACATTGTGTAAGCTTATTGAAAAAAAATTTAAAAGTGTTTGTTATTTTGAAGAAAGAATACTATGCCCAGAGAGGGATCTTTAGTTAATGTGAGTTACTCAATGTTTAAGCAGCTTTCATTCACAAAAAAATAACAAAATTCAGTTAACACTAAAAGAGTTTATCAAAATTGTCTTAGTCATTAATGATCCTAGTGCATTGTTTTTTTCCTTTCTGGAGGAGAGGACCAAATAATGCAACACAGTTGATACTCTTTATTCATTACTTGTGTTGAAATTTACAAGTAATATGTTATGTAAAAGTGAGTAATATTAGTTAATCTGTTAAAATGCTCAAAATACTTACTGCAGTAGCGTGTAAACTTTTATCTTTTCATCCACAGTTTTGTAGGTCCTTATGAAAGTCTTTTGATTAAAATGTTATAATTCTTTCCCCCATGCAGTGATTTTAATAATTTTTTGTCGATGTTAGGCTAGTCATTAAAAAATATAAATTGTATTAATTTTCTGTCATCTTAATAATTAAAGTCAACATTGCATGATATACATTCAACAGATATTACCTGTTTGTATTAGATAATTTTCATGCTGTTTTACTATGAAACTAGTTTCACACACAAAATTTTACAACAAATTACAAAAAGTTATATGTATTAACCATTCATTTTTTTTGCTGGGCTGATGTACTTGTATCCTAGTTATATAAGATATATTTTTGAAAGTAATGGAAACACATCAAAAATTAAGATCAAGCTTAATAATTTAAAATGTTTAAGCTGATTGCATGCATATTATATTAATGATTGAAACCTTTGGTTTCAACTTTTAGATTTTTTTGGAAAGTTTATAGTGTATTAATCTTGCTTTATATTCATCCACATGCAAACGTAATACCAAATAAATTTCTTCTGAAGGAACTACAACACATGGGCTAATGACATTATATCTCTGTCGTTAAGTGATGGGTTTCTTGGCGATATAAATAATATAGGTTAGACTCTCAAAGAGAATAGAATGAAAGAATTAAATGTGTATTAAACAATCAAATATGATTATCATTGAAAATATTTTAGTATCATTCCTGTATATTTGTAAGTGTTACAACACTACATTTGTTAAATGTTTCCATAAGTATTGTGCTAAGGAAAATAGTTTGTGAGAATATATTATGCCTTATCTGTGTATTAATTTTTTTTCATTGCTATACAGAGACTATACTGTGGCTTGTAAATTTATATTTTCTCTGAAAACACAGAAAAAAAGAAGATTCTGAGATTGGTATATATATAGTGTTAATGGTCTTTGTTTTAGGAATTACATGGTTAATGTGTATGCTTAGTTTGTCTTGGTTATTTATGAGAGAGAATGCAGCTGAAATCAGTCACATTCTCATATACTTTTCATAATCTCAATTAATTTCAGTAACAAAACAAGTTTACAAAATTGTTACTTTAACATAAAATGCAGTTTAATAATAGAACACATTACTTGAATTTAACATGTGAAATAAGATAAAATACCTTAGTGTTTAATTATCTTTATAACATTGCAAATTTTTGTTTTAAAGTTTTTGCACTAATATTAAAATCTATTTGAATTCATAATCTTTTATGCTTTAATTATATAATTACAGATGCCATTGTCTTATCCTTTGTGAATAGGTTATTTTAGAACTGTTTTATTAGTGGTTTAAAGTGCTCTACAAATGTCACCATCATACTGACAATTACAAATGCCATCATCCTACCTTTTGTGAAGATCTTATTTTAGGAGTGCTGTCAAGAACAGTTTGATGTATTTCCTATACTTTACATATGTTTCAAATATCTTAAACCTAAAGTATGTATGGTAATAGAAGTAAATATGGAAACATTGATGAAACATACTATATTGCAGGAGAAATATTCATTTTGTATTAGCATAGAAGCTTAATTGAGTCCACAGACTGAACCATAATGACAGCAAACAAATATGTAATTGCATGCATTAGTATTTTGTGTGCAAGCCTTTTGCTGTCTTTGAACAGGGCATCAGGTTAACATACTGTCATAGCATGTATTGATGAAAATGAATAGAATGTTTTTTAAATTACCCTCTAGCACAGGGCTTTTCAATTGATGACCCACAGGTTAAATCCAGCTGGCAAAGGACAGCCAAATGGTCCACTGACAGTCAGTAAAAATTATAAAAAAATTAACTAAAATAAATGTGGAAAAAAAAGAAACAGTAACATTGTTGAAAAATTCTCTGTGAGTACTCCTATGGACATTTAGAAATGTTTCTAATGGTAGTACGAAATTAAATGTTAAACTGTTCTTTTATTGAAGTATACTACTCATGTAAATTTTTTCAGTATACTAACATTGCTTTATATTTGGTTGTTGCTAAGCTCAAAGCTACACAATGGGCTATCTATGTTTTGCCCACCATAGATATTGAAACCAAATGTTTACCATTTAAGCTTACAGGGTTACAGCTGAGACATGGCAGGGGAGGGGTCATTTCTTTATGCAATATCTGTTATGGTGATTAAAAATGTGCATAGTAAAATACTTATGGCCCATCTACACCAAATTTTTCTCCAATCTAAACCAATTAAATCTTACACAGTTCCACTTGTTTTGTTGCCTCGATTTTCTCTTTAACCATGTAGGTTCAAATTCTCTCAAGTCAGGTGTTCTAATGTTTCACCTGGTAAGTACCATGTTGGTCCATGCTTGGAATAATTATCTTAACGAAACATAAACCCCTAGCCAATTAGATGTGTTCCTATTGGAATGTCATAGTTTAGAATAATCTGTCTAGAGGAGATGCTACCACAAAGCTGTATAGATTCACTCCATTGTTTCTTTGTTGTATTTGTACTTTGGTAATGCCTTTTTGAATATGCTGTTTTATACTATTGATGAATAATTCAAACTTGGATATTTAGTAAATAACACACACTGTTATGCCTGCTCATCCTGCTGTTGCATTTTCATTACCCAACTTAGCCTTTTCTTTTGGTTGCTTTTCCAGAACAAAGGTTTTTATGCAGTTACATGTTAACTGAGGCTGCATTGAACCACATTATTTCTTGATGTACTGAGGATAATAAGATACCTGTAATTGAAGCACCTGGTTATTGGCCAGATCTCTACTGGAGCATCCCCTGTCTCGCAGGTAGCATAGCTTAAGATCACAAGTGCATCTTGAGATTTTTTCCTTGACTGTACCAATTTTCTGAACATCTAGCATACAACACCCTCTTATACACACAGTTTGACTTAAATCAGTCACCCTGCAAAATGGTAGCTGCTACATACTTGTCATAATGTATTTCCTTCCTAGAGCCATGCTTGCTTCAGTACACATAGTGGATAAGGGGTACTGATGCCTATATTGTATAACATAATAGGACAACATGGAACCTCTAAACTAAATTAAAATATTTTTTAAAAAATCTTAAAGCCAGCCCTTATCATTCATATACTTATCAAGCTTTTTCTTAAACTCACCTAAATTTACTACCTCTACAACATCCAAAAGCAACCCATTCCAAAGGCCAACCACCCTGTTAGAAAAATGAAACTGTCTTAGCTGAAGATGACTCCTACTTTGCCTAAATTTATATTTGTGTCCCCTAGTCCTACTATTCTCGCTGTTAAATATGAAAAAAGATGATGCATCAACACTATCAATTCCCTTTACAATCTTAAACACCTCAATCAGATCCCTCTAACTATTCATTTTTCAAGAGAAAACAATTTGAGGGATTTCAGCCTCTCCTCGTATGACAACCCTTCTATTCTAGGCACCATCCTAGTAACCCTTCTCTGAACCCTTTCTGACAATTCAATGTCTTTCCTAAGGTAAGGAGCCCAAGACTGAACAAATATTCCAAATGTGGTCTAACCAGTGACCTGTACAATGAAATTAAAACCTCTTTAGACTTGCATTCAATATTTCTGTAGATACAACCTAAAATCATATTAGCCCTACCACTAGCATCAGCACACTTCTTGAATGGCTTTAGAGACTGATTGACTATTATACCAAGATCCCTTTCCTTCATAACACTGTTAAGGTTATTCCCATCCAATTTATACTTATAATTCAAATTATGATAACCCACATGCATTATCTTGCATTTATTATAAACAAAGCCCATCTGCCATTTATTTGCTCAACTCACAAAATGATCTAAATCCTTTTGTAAATCATTAAACTGTTATACCATTTTCTGATTGGTTGGTTGACAAACAGCCACAAAATGCCATATCTACATAACTTTTGTATTATAATGTCAGCAATTTTACTGTATGGCTGGTGATTGGCATGTGTTTTACTGGTTTTTGTGTGTAGTTTCCATATTTATTTCCATTGCTATATATGCTTAAGTACTTATTTATTTTCTAATTTTGAAACCTCAGACTCAAGTTCCTAGGATTTCAGTAATTTATGTGTGTCAATGAAATTAGCATTATCATGTACATTATAATTCAAAGTTTTATATTATCTAAATATTACTTCAAAAGAAACCTTAAAGAAAATTCTTAAACTTCAGTTTTTGTTAAATATCACAAAAGTTCACAAAATCTTAACATTTTGTCTCTGTAACTTGAATACTTTATCACATACGTTAATTGTAATAGCATAAAAAATGAAGTGTGAAAGAGGTAAATGTTTCAAAAAATACTGTGCTTAAGGAAAGGTGTACTTTCAGATGACCAACATTGGTTCCTTTACTGATGAGGATCTTCCCTTGATCTTCTGTGCACGATTGCTTGCCTCATCATTCCTGCTTACAGGTGTAAAAGGCAAGCTCTTGCCAGACCAGAATGTAAGAGTAAGCATTAAAGCATTAGCCATGAGCTGTTTGGGGAGTGTACTCTCTTTATATCCTTCTGCTTTTTATCTGGATATCTACAAATCTTCAGAATTGATGAAACCATGTGGTAAGTTGGAAACATCATTTTGCCTACTAAATACATGTAATTGCATAAAATTGCGAGCATCAGTTAATGTGCTCTAATCATTCTGTACAGTATTATATTATTGATATATTGTAGCATATAATGTATTTAAGTGTAAAGAGTCCAATACTTTGACCATAATTTCATGCTGCAAATATACTCTTGCTAAAATTTTCTTACATATATTAGTAGCTTACAGTAATGCAAGAACTGTTTCTGGTTCAGGGGTATATAATGTCATCTCATAAAATATCATTGTAATTAACCAGGCACGAAAAAGTTAAATGAAAATGAATGCATCCAAATGTGTAGAATAAACTGGTAGTACTTTCTGCTTTCTTTCTTGTATGATAAAAATTTTGTGTTTATAAAAAAAAGATTCTTATATATTTCTTAACATTTGAGATAAGGCTCTTGTTATTCAGCTGTACTTTACATATTTATCACTTCTTTTATATAAAATAACTTTTTTAAATTATACTGCTGAGTGTCACTTGAATGGGTAACTTTGTTTTGTTTATGCAATATGTTTTGGGTTAGTGAAAAGGCAGCACCAAAGACAAATCTGATAACATTATAATTTAAAAAAAAAAAAGGTGCAAGTTACAGGAAATAATTAATTTTGACTTATTAGATAAACAGATCTTATTAACTTTTTTTCTTGCATGATTATCAGAATCTCAACAAAAGATCTGGGAAGTGTTGTATTTCACAAATCATAGTGATCCACATTTGAGGGGACACACAGCACTTCTCATTGGCCTCTTCTTGAAAAGTGCTTTATCTAGTTCAGGTGTATGGTGGGATAAGTGGTCCAGTTCTAATTGTGAAGTTGGCCAAAGTAAGTACTTCTGTTATAAGTTTTTTATTAAGTGTGAATTTTGCTTGGGTATTTTTTAAGATAATTTAGAGTAGTAATATAAATTCTGTAGTGAAACAGAAAATATTGTATAAAGATTCCTTTCATTTTTGGCTTTTGTGACTTATTTTACAGATAACCAGAAATTATTAATAACTTTACATCTTAGCATAAAAATATCAGAAAAAAGAAAAGTTCTTAAGGCCTAATAAGAGAAATATAAAATTGAGCATTTCTGATATTATGGAAATGTTACAAAAGCTGCTTTACACTGTAATGTATATGTGGCTGGGTGTTTGAGAATTTCTTGGAATGTTGAGGTGGGATCTGTGTTTTGGACATTGAAAACATTATCTTGATTACTTTTATCACCAGATAAAATTAATTTATGCATTTATTATTTTAATGTGTTTTCAAATAAACTGTAATTATGGGGTTGAATATCTGATTACTGTTGTTTTTCAGCTGGATACTGGACTTTGAGTCACAGTGTTGTTATAAAGATTGTTGTTCATTTTTGTCCTAGCATCAACCCTGGGATTAGCAGAGATAGTGGATAAACTGCTTCAGGTCATTAAGGATCAGTCTGCCATTGCTTGCAGAATGGCTGTTTTAGCTTTCAAGCATTGTCTTGTATCACTGCTTCAATGTTCTGAAGGGCACATGGGCTTAAGAGTGCTGGATACACTGCTTGCTATCAAGGATATTCCATACTGGCTAGTTAAGGTAGGCTATTATGATATAAAATGCAATAATGTATTTTTATTCCCTAAGACAGAAAGTATGTTAATTTTTTCTATTAAACACATGAAAATATAGATTTCTCATTTTTCAATTCTTTTTTTTACACTTAAGGATAAAAATTTTACATGAGTGATAACAAAATGTTTGATTACTTTAAAAATGCCTAGGTTGTACTTTTGAAATGTAGACACTGGTGATTTTGTAGGAAGATATTGAATTAATTTGGGGTAATACAGTGGATACATGATAACTTCTATGTGTAATAGCTTGAGACTGCTCTGATCTTAAAATTTGGTATTGTTCTAAATTTATTAAATTTATTTATTAGTTTAAAAACTAACCAAAGGCAGGACGGGAGGGGGGTAGACATGTTAAAGCATGGTTTTAGCATGGCTATAAATGATAGGTAGCAGATTTTGTCATTTTTATTCTTAGTTCATCATTCATTCTTTGGTGTAGTCCTTTTCTGTAGCTTTCTTCTTCCAGAACTGCTTACATGTAATCATCGGGGTTTTAAGGTATAATACTAGTAAATTAAAAAACCTTTTCTTTTAATAAGATAATCATGTTTACATTAGTTATGTTCTTTCTGTTCTAAAAAAAAATGGAAACTATCATTTATTATTGTGAATAAATATTAATCATAATGTCATTAGAGATTCTTCTTGCCCCTTTATCTCATTTAATTGATGAGTTTGGGAAGACGAGGTTCCTCTGACTGGTCTTTACAAGAGCTTTTATGTGCTACTTTTCCTGGAATGTTATATCAAACTTGTAATAATTCTCATAACCTCCTGTGCTTTTGTATGTGCTATACTACTGTTTTTTTTACTGTTAATTGGGTTAGAAGTTTTTCTTTTTGAGATAACACACATGATAGAACATGAATAACAAACAACTACAGCTACAGCATAATAAAATCTGAAAATAAAATATGGTTAAATCCACTGTAAATGAAAGAGTTGTATGGTCAACAGTTAAACCAAATGATGTCTATTAGGACTTAATAGAACTTATTTTGGGACTTCCTCTTAGCATAATTCTAACATGTCATGGAAACTGGTAAAATAGGTGGCTTTTAGATTTTATGTTCCTTGCACAGGAGGCATCATAAAATTTCATTTTGCTTGCAAAAACTGGAAAAAGTCAATGAATTTAATGTGACTTAGTGATGCTTCTAGGGCACAAGTAGTGAAAAAATATCATTAATTCTAGAAAATCATGTACATGTTTATTCTGGTGCATTTAGCATGACAGTTTGTGTAAATATTGTTTTTCTACATTGATCTTTTTATTTACCATTAATTGTCATGGGGTATAAAGGCAGTTTTAATACTCAAAATTACCTAAACAGTAACTAGAGTGTAAGGACTCTGGACAAGGCTTTATCTCAGCTTTTCCTAAAAGAGATTGTGGAGGATCATTTTACTACATCCTTAAGGCCCTTAACAAATTTTTATAATAAGTCATTTTGATCTTGCATATTTTAGTGCATTGATAAAGTAGTTCCCATCTCAGTAGCATATTGTGTTGTAAAGATTTGAAAGATGTTAAAATGAAAATGAATAACTTAGTTATTTTGATAAAGCCTGGAATTTTAAAGATAGAATAAAATTCACACAGTTTTAATGATTTATTTCTATTTCATATGTGTACTTATATTCAGTCAGTTAATTACCCAAAAATTACTAATAATTATATATAAAATAATACTTTGTCAGTAGTTATTTTTATTCATTATAAAACTTAATTTACATAATTAAGAATTGTTTATGGTACACAATGTCATGATGCATAGTACAGCTTGGGCTGGGGTTCTTGACAATTAATATTTCCAATAGACATGTTGAACAGTGTTCCCAAAAGTGGGAGTCGTGGCCCCCCTAAGGGGGGCTGCCAAAAAATGGGTCGAAAACAAAAATGCTGAATTATTTTAATTCTAAATAAACAATAAGCCAATAAAAAATTATGTTGAATGAATTAAATTAAAGGTTTGCTTCCTATTTTAAAATGCAAATAAGATAACCTTACATAAAATTTAATGTGTATTTAATTGCTTATCAGTCTACAAATATAACCCAAATATAATAAATTGCTAATGTCTAGTTATAATACATATAAATTGATGTGAAAAGGCCACATTAAATTACAAGTATAAATTTAATAGGAAAATTACTTCATATATATCATTAAAGTTCATTACTAATTATTTTTTGAAATTGATGAATCACATTTTAAGGTATTTTTATAGGTTGGGGGGCCTCAAACCTTTTTGTTCACATCAAGGGAGCCTTAGCTTAAAAGTGTTTGGGAACCACTGAGGTGAAATATCACCAGAACAGTTAAGGAAAACTTATGTAAAGCAAAATATAGATGACAATATATAATATCAGTAATCTTGATTTGATACAGTACATACTTCCTCTTACACAATAGCCTTTCTTGATCTACCACTGCCCTCTAACACATTATAAAGAAGTTTTCTTTCTTGATGTGCTAGCTTTTATACCGCACAAGTTTAAGCTGCTCATTTAGCATACATAGAGCACGTGACAACCAATAGGAGCATGACACACTCTCCTAGAGCAGCTGGCTCTCTGTGTGCCACTTTACATGATCTTCACTTTTTCAATTGGCATAATACAAGTTGGACATGTTTCTCATTTGCTTTGAGTTTTCAGTTTTTTTTTGTTTTTTTTTGTTTTTGTGATATCTCTGAATTTGTTCCTATTTATTTTTTCTTAATCCAGTTAGCTTTGCAATTTCGTATATTTGGGTGTGTTACTGACTTTCATTGTTTTTTTTGCACTATTTATTGTGAATTATGAATTTGGGATTTACTGCGATTACCACCATGGCTCCTGATGTTATTGGTGGCATATAAGCTCCTTTTACCCAGGCCTCAGGATCAATGTTGTTTGCTGTGGGGGTGCAAGCCTTTGTTTGTCGGGAGTTGGCTTCTTACATATGTCGTGGGCCTTCTTCTCCATGATGGCCAGTGCTTCTGTTGGCTCATAAGATTGTTCAGAACAAGGATGATTAAGACAGGTTTTTTCCTGCTTCTTCCTTGGCCATGCAGCCACATCCTGACCTTTGGAAGATGTTTGTCTTTCTATTCCTTTCCTCCAATTAATTACACAGGTTTGTCACATTTTTAATGTTTTTCCTGTTTGCTATGATGCTTCTCCTTCCCTTTTATGTGAGATCCCTAACTTGGATTACTTGTTATTTCCTCCTTCACCTGACATTGATGTTCATGCTCAGTGGTTTTTATTACAGTTAAGTTCAAGTGCTAGTATACCCACACCCCCTCGAGTTCCTGACCAACATCTTTTGGCATTTCATTGTTCTTCCAATCCTTATTTGGATTCTCAACAATCAGAATCATTGTTACCCCTCTGGGATTGTAATCGTGAGGCTTCTGTTTTGTTTTCACAGGCACAATTTTCAAGGAATCATCTTATATATACTAACATTTTATGTTACCTCTTCTCTATGCATGTTTTGTTAGAGGCCTTTCATCATTCTCTCAACGATTTTTTGGAGGACCTCGTATATCTTCTGTGGTCAACTTTGGTGAGGCTCTCTTCATTAGCTCTTTTTTTCCTGCTTACTTGGCTACTTGGGACTCGTTGGGGAGAGATATATGGCTTGTGGGGGGTTTGTCTCCTCCCATATTCCCTCAGGAGCTTAAAGATGGTTCCGCTTTTGTGTGATACAGTTTTTGAGGGATGTTCCAATTATTTGGAATCCCGTGTTGATGTGGCCAGGTTACATAGTTCCATATCTTCCCTTGCTAATCATTTAACTCAACCTTCCTCCTCCACAGCTTTTGATCTTATTCCTATTTCCCATTCTCCTACTTCCATGTCTAGTCCTTTACTCGCATCTCAATGTTCTCATCATTATTCTAATTTTTCTTGTGCCCATCTGACTCTACTGTGTAGTCACCTATACCTCTAATCCTGTAGGAGCCAGACACTACTGTTTTATAAACATTTAGGAGACCTTCGCTACCGATCTGTGGGTTCTGCGGGTTTTGTCGAACAGTTTCTCTCTTCACTTCCTGTCACCACCTCTTCTTTCCTTGTCTCCAGTTCCTTTCCCTTCTCTAATGGATCCTGTCTCCAGTGGTTGTCTATCCAAGGCTGTAAGAGACCTTCTCAAGGAGGCTATTGATTGAGCCGTTATTTCTCATTCAGCTGGGTTTTTACTCTAGACTTTTCATTGTCCCCAAGAAAACTGGGGATTGGAGACCTATCATTGACTTCTCCTGTCTAAATCAGTTTCTGGGTCTTCCTCATTTCACCATGGAATTGTTTCTGTCCCTTCATTGGGTTTTCACTCCAGGGCTTTGGATGACCAAGTTCGATGTAGCTGATGCATATCGTCATATTCCAATCTCCCCATCTTTGGCTGGTGCTCCTCTTCCACCTTCTCTTCCATATCTGCATCTTTTTACTGATGCTTCTCTTGTGGGTTGGAGAGTATATCTCAATTCCTAAGAAATTTCTGGGAATTGGTCATTGCCTGAATCCAGGGCTTCATGTCAGTGTTTTGGAGCTCTTGGTTGTTGATCAAGCTATGTCCCATTTCCTCCACCTTCTGAGGGGGAAAATGGTTTTCTTACATTCCGACAGCTCCACAGTGACCTCATACATCACTAAGCAAGGGTACTAAATCCAAGTCCCTTTGTTTTCAGACTCTGGAGCTCCCATTCTGGGCCCACGAGCACCAGATTCAGCTCTTGGCTTTCCATATTCCCAGTGCTTTGAATCTTGTTGCATCTGTACAAAGTTATTCCCATGGAGTGGTTCCTGGATCCTCAAGTGTTCCAGTGGTTATGCTCTGATCTGGGAATCCCGAACATAGATGCATTTGCCATGCATCTGAACACTAAACTGCCATATTTCTGGTCCCAGAGGAATGGAGGGGCCTTCACATTTATGCCTTCCCACCTATATGTCTCCTACCCAAAGTATTTTCCCTCATTGGCTCCACTCCATGTTGAGTTCTCTTGTTGCTTCTGTTTGGGCTGGCTCATTCTTGGTTCCCTCTTGTGAGGCTTCTACAATTGTCATCACCTCTTCCCCTCTCTATGTCTTCTTCTCTCCTTCATCAATTTCATTTGGGTGCCTTCTATCTCACCATTCCCACCTTCTGGCTTCACACATGAGTTTAGTTGGAGTTCCTTTGCCAGAAGACAGGGTCTGCCACCACATGTTGCTTCTCTACTTTCCCTCTCAGTCTGATCTTCCACATTGTTGGTTTACCAAAGATGTTGAACTACTTTTCCTCATTGATCTCTCTCACATGGTTTCCATCTCTTCCATCCTTCTGTTCTTCATTTGGCTGTTCAATCAGGATCTTTCTGTTTTGACAGTTTCTGGATGTAGAGCAGCCTTTCAAACACTTTTTGTTTTACTAGATTCCGTCAGGTCTTCTCCTCTTCCATTCTTTCCCTCCTGTTCTGGTCCCTTCATGTTCTTTATCTTTGCTGTGCTTTTCCTGTGCCTAATTGGGATCACAGTGTTGTCCTTTTTGCCCTTTCCCAATCTCCCTTTGAACCTTTGGCTTTATGTTTCCTGTATCATCTTTTCCCTCAAGACCAAATTCATTCTCCTTTCGGCTTGTGGTCATCTTTGGTCTGATCTTTTTGCAATAGGTGTTTTCCTAACCATTATTATAGTCCATATACTGTGCTATACCCAGACTGTTCCTTCCTTCCAAAGACTTCAGCTGCTCAGGAGGGGGATTCTGCCTTCATGCCTTCCATTTCCCATATTTATTCCAGGTCAGATCCAGATCGCCTCCTGTGTCCTGTGCAAGCTTTGCAGTGCTATGTGGCTCATATGGCTTCCTTTCATGGTTCTCGTAACCATATGTTTATTTCCTGGAAACCTTCTGTGTCATGTGGCCTATCTTTCATCTCCCTTATGGGTTGGGTTTGTCAGCTTATAAGGTTGGGTCACTTTTCTCTCTCCTTGGAAGGGCGTCACCTTTATCGTATCTTGTCTCATCAGATTTGACATATCACAATGTCTCTAGCAGCTCCTTTTCGCCATCCTCTGGAAGAGATCATCCATTCAAGTATATGGACTACTTTCCATACCTCTGTTGCTTATTACCTACAACATTTGCCTATGTCTTTCTTTTGTGGATATCATCTACCTCCTATGGCAATTCTACAGGCACTTTTTTTTGCTCTAACCTGGGTCAGTATTTTTTTTTCTGTTATTTCTTTAAGGGGCCTCCTTTTGCTTCAATATACATTTGAATCCTGATTAGTGGCATGTGTTACCTGGTCAGGTATGCTTTCCTATAAACCTGCACCAGTATCTTTATGGTTATAACGCACACTGTTGAAATGGGGTGTTCTGCAAGATCACTAGCATCTTACCTAGTGGTGTGTATATATATATATATATATATATATATATATATACTACTACTAGTAGTAGAAGGACGGACGACGACGCGTACGGTAACGTTACCCTTACCTACTTACCTTACCGTACCCGTACGGTTAACGTTAACTTACCGTAACGGTA